AAGCGTAACAAAACAAATGTTAATAAATTAATGTAAATAGAATCAGTAACCAATCTTGGGGAATCGTGGATCCCCAACAGTCCCACAAGCTTTCCTCAAGCCATTTACTCTGAGGTCCGCCGAGGCAGTCACGTCGTCAATCCATTGTATTTTCAGTGTAGACTTTTCAGTTCTCGTTAATCGGCTTTGGCTACTTGGCCGGCTCCAGTGCTTACAGTGACTCAAAAGCAATGCTTCGTAAGACCAAGTTGGGCTCTTCCAATTCCGAGTGATCACTTGGGCGTTTAAGGGCTCCACGCACGTCGGTTTCATGCGTATGTGGATCCGTGTCTCTGTTCGAACTACACCGTGTGACTTTACCACGGTACGTGTGGGTTATGTTTAGCATTCCTGATATTTGATTCTACGATAGGAGAATGAGGGACTATAACTTGTCTTAGCCTCATCATCTTCCCACGTGTGTCGTTGCGTAATTCCCACACCTCGCATCCACTTTCCAATTAGTCACCCTGATGACAGTCAACTATGTCTGCTTCAGTAATCTACAACAGTCTGACCACGACGCCACGCAATCCGCGTTGATGTCTCCCAAGTGTATTGTGTTGTTTTTTGCCTCCTCCCAACATTCAGACCAGGAGGCGTCTCATCAGTGGAGCTGTTGTGTGGCATGGTCATTGGGTCTTTGCCTTGTCACCTGGGATCCAAAGACCAGTGTGACCTTTTTTGATGGGTTTCCTACGTGCCTCCTCCCATCACGTCTCTGCCTCCTCCTCCTCCTCATTTTCGATTACCAAGTCCAACCATTCTGCAAAAGCTTAGCATTTCAACAGTGTGCTGGTGGTTTCCTTCATTTTTTGGTGGATTTTACGCTCCTACAAGCATGTCTTTAATCTGCCGTTGCGGTCATATGACGTACAGCTAGTGTTATATTTGTGATGCAACTGCCGTGTGCTCTGTTGCGTGAAAATGCGTGAACGAGCAAAAGTCTCGAATGACCGAGGCCCAATTCGCTGGTGGGGATTAAGAAGAGTCAGGCATCTGATTGCTGTTTTTACGTTATGCAAATGCTTAGCAGCAGCTTTGATTTTGATTGCCGGAATATTGGTTACAATTATCACTAATTCTAGTGAGTGTTTTACAACTGTTGCATTATATCGCCAAGCGTTTGTGCGCGCACATGCGAAAGTGAAATTAATTGAAATAAACTGTTGCAAATTCCACCTTTTCCCGGGAATGTTGATGTGCTGTTCATGCGTGCTAAAACTTGCCCGTCCGATACTTCGTCACGTGACATCGTTGCGTATGTATGTTTGAATGCGTTCAACAATGATGATGCGCGTGAATGCAGTCTCTCCTATTAAAAAATCGTTCAATACGTACCACCACGTACTCATTCAATCTCACAATGTAATCATCAACCCCTAACGTCTTTCTCGCAAATATTTTCCCTGCAATGTGGCTGGTGCATTCTGGCAAATTTATGCGCATAGCCATTCCGTTTAACGTGTACACTGGTTACCTAACATTTATCCGAAATAACCCTAAATGCCATTCGTAACAGACGCATAATAGTGAGGCTCCAGGTATTCAAGACAGGGTTAGAGTTATTGGCAAGTAAATGGGCACGATCAATTGGTTAAATTCACGCGTGTTTTGCGGAAAATTTCTTCCAGCTCATCACTCTACCGCATGCAATAATCTCCCAAGGGTGCTTATCAGATCATGAGAGTTTTCAGCACCTCTGAGGCCAAGGCTTTCGGAATTATGTTACCTGGCGGCGGTTTTTGTCGCCAACTTTGACATTGCTTTCAAAGCTGCCAAGACAAAATACTGGTGAAAGTGGCCTACCTTGTCTTGGGATGTTAGAAGACAAATTCATAGGGGTGTTTTTCGTCCTATTTAATTAGGATTTTTGTGATCTCTGCGCCCATGGATCAACTTCTGAGGATGCTTATAGTGTCTTCTAACATTCATAAATTTTGTTATAACCTTTTTATCCTCGTGGTTTATCTGCAATATTTTACTCAATGAAGAAGCTGTAGCTGTATGGTGTGTCCAGAAAATTTTGCAATTCTATTGTCAAGTAATACCTACTGAAATCAATGGAATGCTGGTGAAAAGATGGCACAGCTCTTTGCTATGCAGTTATTTACAAATGTGTTCCAAAGTTGGCAGACCAGAGTCACAACGCACAAGTTAATAATCAAAAGGCTGAGTCGTAGGCTTATGGTTATTGGAAATCTATCATTAACACGAGCATTTGCCATTGGATTTACCACGCAAAGTGGTGAGGGGATGACCCATTACAGGTGCAGCATTCAATTAACAATGTGCATCCTATTTTTAGGGACGTTTACGGCCTCTGCAATTTCCCACTCATCCCGTCAACGTTCGAAAGGCACAATCAAGTCCTGGTACACCTCGCCGTTCGAGTCAGAATCCCTAGTTCCCTCACAGTTCCAGTCTTCGCGTCGCCGCAACTGCCGAACCCTCCCTCACTCTCAGAGTTCTATGATTGGTCTGAAGGACCCTCTAATGACCCAATCAGCTTGTTTTTCGGGTCAAATGGTGGATTCGGGCTTTGCGGACCCAACTCCACAGAATTCTTTGGCTTAGCTCCAATTGCCCATGTGACGACTCAGTCACCGTCAAACTACGCGCCATCTCCCTCCCACTAGATGTGTAGTCTCTTGCTGCAAGCTAATCGATTTGCTCCTCCTCCTTATTTGTTATTTTTATTTGTTGTTTCTCCTTTTTTCTCTTTCTCTAAGATCGTTACTGTTCCGTCTTTTTTTTCATTGCGAATAAGCGCCGACACTGTGTAAATAGAGCTTACTCCATACATGTCACAATCATGACTAACTTTGTCCCACTCTTCCTCCCACAACCCAAACAGCATTTATCATTGTAATTTTATTTTACAAAAATCGTACTTGAACACGTCACTTTTGTGCTATGCATAGTTGCTAGGGGGTTGGGGGCTGTCTAAATCTCTGGTTACTTTTCTTTTCGATGGCCTCAGCTCCTTGGTATTCATATATTTATGGCCAGATCTCTTGAGAAACGAAATCGATATTTACTCTGATTACGTCATGGGTTTCCGGTGCACAATGGAAACCTAACATCTTACTTGAGATGCGCCAGCTCGCAAACTTACTGTCCACGTCATACGATGCTCTCTACTCCACCGTGAATTTGTCTGTGAGGCAGTTAAGAGTTGTTGACAGCATACCTCGACAGACGCATGGTTAAGGGGGCAGTATTCAGCAACAATCAAGACACCGAAGATGGATTACTTAAACGGTGTGTGCACTTGACGAATGTAAGCCTACTGCATCGACGCTGGAAACATGACATCAAGAGTTGTCTAGCGAAGGCATATGCGACTAATGAGGTTCAATAATGTAGCTTAGGATAGATTTACTGGTCTGATTTCCTCTAATATTACACGATAAAACAATCAAGTTGACAGGGATTCATTAAGAAGCCTTCACCCAACGATGCCCTGGTGCATTTTTTGCTGATTGTGGAGACACCTCATACAGAAGCAGTTAAAACTAAAAATAAGGGTACTTTAAAGGATAATTGGCTGGGAAAAATTAACGACTGTTTTTTATGCTGAAATCCGTATGGGTGAGAAAGAGGGTGTTTTTAATTGATGACATACAAACGCCTCTTACACCCCGCACAAAATCTTGCCAAGGCTCACTGCGGAAAGTTAACGGCCTCGTGCTTCTGGCATTTTGCAAAGGGTCTACGCTGAAGGACATTCAAAGTCCGCGTACTGCTTGAAATGCCTTAGAGGGGACTGCGGTATAGTAACCGTGCTAAGTTTTTCAAGAGAGATGAAGATGTTACGTTAAGTAGTTATAAAAATGATAAAAGAAACGCGCATTTTAGAACCGAGGCAGTGCAGGTTCACTATCGACGCCCTCACAAAAGCCAGGTAAACAGTGGTGTTCGACGCACCGTAACTCAGTTAGGAGTGCTAAGAGTCACTTTTGAAAGCACGGCACAAATGCATTAAGGAGAACTTGTGGCCGCATCAACTATAAATGCGAAGTTAGGTTCGAGAAAAATTCGGACTTAAGATGTGTGCATCAAACAGTGGTAACAGATGAAAACCCTACATTTTACAAGAAAACCGTACTTTTATATAACCACTGGAGATGGACGCATTACGTGAAAGCTCCATGACAAAGAACAACATGGACCAAACCCATGGAGCGGTAAAGAAAACAAGACCCAAAACTTAATTCCCATTCCAATCTTTAATTCAACGCACAAAGATTGAAAAAAAACGGAGAAAAAAACACATTTTCATAGATTAATTCAATGACGCTGTAGAAAGAGAATCAATGAAGCCTATTTCGCAATGTTCTATCGTGCTTTGAGATGCGTTGGATCCATGTGCGTTTTGGGACAAAAACCATGAGTTATTTTTTAGTAAACAGTATTTACTATAACAATCAGTAAACAACCAAAGCCTCTTAACGGTGAACTGCTGGTATCTAGGAGTTAGTAATACCACTTCTACCCAACGCAGGAAATACCTGAATAGGCAGAAGTTCTGACAGCTGGTCATTTTTATTTACGTTAAGGAAGCCAACTTGTCTAGCACCATTTAATATCTCAACAAAAACAAACCGAAGAATAGTAGAAAAGTAGCGGAATCGCCTAGACTTCCCGGCCCCATATTCTGTAAACTTGAAAATCAAAATCTAGTCACCATTGAGTTCATTGGTGCTGCAAGTGGGTACGACACATATAGACATTTGAATCGAAAGACTAGATGAAATACCAGACATCCAAACAACAATTCAAAAGCTACTTTCTGGGTCAATCAATGAATGTGGCTAGACTTGTGGCATATTTGAAAACTGCACAGAGAAACACGAGCAGGGAGTCCTCACTACTTGATGTGAGGAACTTAATTCATTGACTTCATCAATCCAACACATGGGCGAAATTGGTACAACAACCGAGGGATTGGTCCTAACGATTCGGCAAAAAAATTATTAAATATATGATAATTTGAATATCACAGAAGAATATATTCTGTAATGATAGCTGACAAACAGAATTCTACAGAGAACAAGCTCCGTGTCATAGGAAATATGGAGAAAATATGTAACTTATACACAAAGAGAACGGTTTCAAAGTGAAAACCAAACATTACTGTTGTGGAAAGACATAATACTTCTCGGTAACCAGTTACAACCCACAGAGGATCAATGCAAAGTGTTCCAGAATGTCTTGAGCGAAGCCGAAGTTGCAGAACACACGTTTTCTACAGTCATTACGTGATTCATTGTTAGCCTCCAACAGAAGGAGCGCAATAAATACTCAACAAAAGCTAACAGTACGTACAATGACACATAGATTGCAACCGCGTGAAGGAATCTGAGCAAATATAATCAATGCAATTATAAATCAGAGGTTGTCTTCAAGTATGCTTATTTAATTACTGCTTGCGTCTTCCAAATTAAAAACAGAATCTTCGACGCGTATTTCTGTATTTTCTAATTTGTGCTGCATTAATAAAGCAGGTTTTATGTCGACTGACTCCCGCTTTAAGCACAGCTTCTTCATTCGTCTTCTAATAAGAGCTAAGGTGAACTGAGGTAAATCTTCCCTTTGGATAGCTCGTACTGACTTATGGCGATTTTTCGATAACTGAATAAAAATATGCACATCGTCATGTTCCGTTGTTTTGGGTTTTCGCCCTCCGCATTTGATTCGTGAAGTCGTGACACCTCGTACAATGCGCGAAATCGTTGGCTGAGAAACACCAAAAGAAAGCGCTATATTCTTTGCGTTTACCCCTTCTTTGTATAAGTTTTTAACTGCTTTATAATCCTCCTCACTAAGGTAGCGGCGTGCACACATAGGGTACAGCGAAGCTCACAACCAGTGAACCTAATTGCTGCCGTTATTTTTATTTTCGACGCTGATGAATTTAAACAGCACGAATTACACCCATCTTTCTTCATTTTTAAAGATAATTTCAAAATAAAGGAAAATACTTATTTTACAATCAAATTAAGGGTATAAACTTCGAACTTAAGCTGTTTGCAGAGTTTATTTTCTTGCATGTAACATTCTTATCTTAACACAAGTCAAAATGCCGCAGAATTTTATGTTCTTTTCACGCACTAGGAGTTATTTTATGGCTGCATATAAGTATTACGTATTACATTTCGGAAGTTTCCTTACGACAAATACGTCAGTATAATCAGTTAATTTTTAAGTAAGCGTTAGATTTTGCATTGATAACGACAAGATTTGTATTAAATATTTGACTTAGCATGCTATAATAGTGTGCATAAATGCTCATTATCCTCCATGATTATTGTATATCTGACTTTAGCAATATTGTGCTTTTACCTTAATTCGACTATCATTAAGTTCCTCGAATGAAGTGCATGGGAGGTGTAAGCGTAAAATTAAAAACATTTGGGCAAATGTGAACCATAGCAGTAAACATATAATTTTCAATGATTGCGGTGAACAAAGAATTAAGTTTATGTGGTGGTTAAAAGCTGAAAATCTTTCCTTCCCTCTTGAATGGTAGTGTAGATACTACCAAGTGGTTGAATCGTTTTACTTTTTCCCACGTTCATAAATGTTAAGCCAAAAGAAAGGTTAGGTGCAAGTTGTTTGGTGTCACGGCTTAGCCGTAAAAAGATATCAGATTATCGACATGTACTGACACTCCCTGAATATGTGCTCTCTTCTTAAGTAACACAATCAACCCCGAAAATACGAATTTGGCTACAAAGAATGTTACTTAATTACCATGTTGGCGAATAAACTAAAACTTTTTATGAGCACACGTCCCTTCGTTAATGATTGGATTAAAAAACCTATACCTTAAATAAGAATTGTGGAAGTAAGGCCTTAGGTTTGGTTTGATTAATTTGAGGCCTTCGTAATGGTTAAAAGAAAGGATAATAAAACCAGGTGAATATTCGTCACCGAATGGTAGCTAAAACAATTGGCGGAATTGTAAGTTATCAGAAAACTTTCAAGATGATTTCTCTTTTGCCGATGTGATCTCGATTGTAAAAAGGTGGCACGTAGGACCTGAGCGTTAAAATGAGATATTTTAGAATTTTCAGGCTGGTGGAGAATTGTGGACCAATACGGGAATCGCTCCAAAGGCTTTTCCAGGCAAGCGAATGTTTAATGTCGAGGACGTTAACAAAGTCGACAGAGGCCATCAAATAGCTGATGACAAAAGTAGATTGATGATACCATGATGATTGTTCGGAGGGTGATATAAATCAAGTATTTATCGTTTTAATATCAAGTAGCTTCGAAAGATATATTGTCTTCCTTAAAGTTGGCGAAGTTTAAAGATTTGGCGTGGTCTAGAAAACAGGAGGCTGCCGATGAGTGGTTGTCGTTCGGAGGAGAAAGATCAAAACATGAAAAACAGTTGGGCTAGGCAGCATTTTATGAATGAAGCCAGGTTTAAACAGGTGAGTGGTGAGAGTAAAAGCCAAATAAATAAAAAAGATGCAATTAAGTTCTAGAGTTTGGCATGGTTGATGAAAAGCAATCTAACGCCAAGACTTGTAATAGAACAGAAAGGCTTAAGGGCTGAATTTCCATTATCGCTCAAACAGAATCTCTACGCCATTCAAGACGTACCAGAAGGTTTCCCACTTCTAGCTAGTAAAAGGCTGGTATGCATTTGAAGTTAGTGTCACTAATTATTGAGGGTCCAGGTATGTAGTACTGAAAGACGCCGGGGCCTCTGCGTTAAATCAAAATTGATCACCCTACCCTGATACCTGAGAGGATGGAGAAGATTTGAGATGGTTTGACACATCTTTCTTGTGCTGCTTGTTTAATGGTTGTTTTTGATAACTTTTTGGTCTTCTCCATCTGCAGGGGTAATACAGTAACGTAATAGGAATAGATCTAACGCTGTGGCCCCGGAGTGTTTACATACTACATTCAGGGTACAGGAACAGAGCATTCTAAACACTATTCTTACATACTCTGTTTACTATGATGATTTGAAATATTTATCTTAATAAAAAGTTGCAAAAAACAACTTCCTTTATAGGTTACAGCTTATTGGCAGGGGGGATGATCTGGATAATTTAAACTGAATGAAGTTTTTGCAACCTTGAAATCTGCAGAATCAGCGCTCTTTAATATTGTGTACAAAAGGGGATGGGGATGGTTGATGAACTTAAAACTAAGGCTAATGCCCTTTTTTCAAAGGGAAATGTCAAAGAAGCGATTGAGATTTACGAAAAATGTCTTTCGCATCCTGAAATCGATAAGAATCTTGAAGAAATAGTCAAGCGTAATTTGGCACAATGTTTCTTGAATCTGGGTAACTATGATCAAGCCATAGAAGTTGCTACTGAAGGTGCGGCCAAGTTAAAAAAATCTTAAATTTTAAGCGCTTGCCCTATTGCCTTCAGATACAAAGGCATTGTATCGTCGTTGTATTGCATACGAGAAGTCAGGCAACCTTAGGGATGCAATTTCTGACGTGCGCAGACTTGTTCAATTAGACCCAAAAAATAAGGCAATAAAAGATTTAGCATTTCGTTTGGAGTCGTCTGTGATGGCTAAAAAGGAGGAAGCAGAAAGTTTGACAGGAAAAATTAATTCAATGTTCTCTATACTTACGGACCCAACTGCTTCCGATGAACGCATGGAAAAGGTACTGTTTTTCTGTCTTATTTCCTGTGTAGGCACTGAATAATTTAATCGCCTTAAACAACGAAGAAAAAGCAGCTGCTTCTGCAAAAATTTGGTCACATCCGGGCATGTCACAGATTTTCGAGCTCTGTAATCATCCCAAACCAGATCTCGTGAACCTTGTTCTCACACTGCTTGGGTCAATTATTAAGCAAAACAGTGACTACGTAAGTTGATATTGCCATTTAACCTTGCGAATCCTTCACAGGTCAGAGGTTGGGCAATGTAATTCATGATTTTAAATCTAGCCCTTTTTTTCGTCAAATGCATTTCTCGGTTTAGGTGAGAGCCTAGTGCTAATTTTTCCATAAGATAATTTTACAATTCATATTGCATTTTCTCAACAAACGCACGCTATTCTTAGAACCTCTTCATTTAGTCTGATCCTAGAATATTGAAAATTCCCTCATTTAATCGACTCACTCTTAATATGTATATAATTCCGGAATTTTTCTACTTTTAGGGCCTTAGACTCCTTAACACACTAAGCCCTCAATATTTCATTCGTCGTGTGTTCTCACCTTGCAATGATGCTTCCGCAGGCATGTGCAAATTCCTGCGCTGTCTCCTCGAAAGCCTTACACAAATTAGTGTCTACAGAAAAGCCAGAGAAGCAGCCATCGAAGCGGACCAAAAGGACAAATCTAAACCGAAAAGTTTTCTTCCGCGAAATATTTATCCTCCTTATAAACTGGGTAACCTTGTAACTTCACCTAAATATGTTGCTTATGCTGGACTCCGACAGGAATCCATCGAAAACAGCCGCTTATATATTGCTGAAGTTTTTTTCTGAAATTGTAACGTAATCTTAGGTAATTTAATAAGGAGATACTCTGGTGCCTGAATGTACTTCGCGCACACACTTTCGGTTAAATGCTGCTTAAGCCACATTTAGTGGAATCCAGTAAGCCTAATTATTCTTTTTGTAAGGGGTTCAATCACGGCTGAAGCGCAATCCTGAGACTTGTTTGAACTTGCATTAGGCTGTAATTTTCATAGAAATAGATGACATTATTAAAGTTTGTCGTAGAAAATGATCTGCAAATGCAATATCTTCAAAGTATTTTGTACATTCACAAGCAAATACATGAGCTGTTGTGTTTTTACAATTTGATTCGTATAAATTAATCACTACGATCAAAAACGGGGAAATTCAAGTGTGTCCCTCAACAGCTTGAGGCAAATAATCCATTCATACTTATTATTTCCTGCAAATGCTCACATTTTTCTGACTAATCGAGCTGTTCTTGGTTCAAGTGCGCACGTCTTGTGTTTATGTCCACACTCGAGAATCATCGGGTGATTTTTGCCGCTACTTGTTCCTTACATGTTTGTCGATGTTTGGCATGTTGGTGTTTCGGGCAATGAGCTTGATTACTGGCATGAGTTGTATGACGATAGTTGGTTGGTGATAAAATTTTAACTTCCTATTGAGATTTTGCTATGGTCTTCGTCATGCTTCAAATATTTTTGTTTTGTCATCACTATAAGGCTGCTGCGCGTTATTATTCCAACAGTCCTGGCACGGTGAATTCAAAAAAATGCCTTACGATCTGACCATAGTCGTTATTGGCATGTTCGCTTGACATCAAGGATTACGTGGATCGTTTTTGCGACGATTCGGGTAGCGTAAAGACCCCAATCCCGATGGTTTGCTTTGCTTACATAAAAGCATTTATCGTTCACATATCGCAAAATCTTATGCTTCCTCGAACTTACACCAAATATGTACTACTAATATTCCTCTTTTATACTTTATTGCTGGGTTCTACCATAAAATTAGGCGATAACACCCAAATTTTTAATGGTGCGATTGTTGTTTGTGTCGCACGCCTTCTTTTCAATTAGAATAACCGGTGCAAATACTATGGGAAAGTGAATAGCGAAATTATGGATCGACGTTTTTCTGTGTTGTTCGTGACATTTGACTATGTTTGCTTGTTGGTTACGCACTATATCGCCTGTGCACAACCAAAGTTGACCCTTGTCCTAGAGAATTTGAAATGCACCTCTAGAAGTGCACTTTATAGCGTTCCTGATCTGGGGTCTCGTGGCTAACTTCGAAGGTACCCTGTCGGCCGGTGGAAACCAGGCGACGCCGCATGCCACGTTGCGCGTTCCACCGGCGCACCTTTGTGCGTGCGTGCGTGCTTGCGTGTGCATTATCGATTTATTCCCCGGGTGGTGTGTGTTCGGGATGCGGGATGCGACCTCAGATGGCGGCGAATAGGGTGCAGGAGGGCCGGGAAACAGTCGGCGCGATTTTATTCACATGGCAACCGTTTAAATTCTAGTTAGCGATTGTTTAGTTTGAAATGTGTGGGCTATAACCGAACGTGGTAATCAGAGTATTGGTTTTTAGTAATCTGCTTCCCAATATATGTGACTTGAGGAAGTGACATTTGAGGCCGTTGCCTTGTCTCTTTCCGGTTGGCACACATAACGCTTTACGAAATGCGAGTATGTACTCTAATTTTAATCCATCCAATTGAAACAGTCACTGCATTATTTTTGTCCATGTACGCCAAACCCAACTCTACTGTGGCATAATGAGGTTTGTTGAAATCCATGTCCGTTAATGCCACCTTACTCGCGAGTGCTTCTCAAAAATGCCACATCAATTTCCCCCATAATCTTTGCGTGTTCGTTACGAAGACTGTCACTATTTCCAACGATCTTCGTTACCACTGGCCTTGTCTGCTTCTATACCTCATCGTGGTAGAGTAATGGCATGAAGTGCCACAGTAACTTAGTGAAGGCATTTTGTGTCTTTTTTTAAACTAGATGAGAAAGTGAAGAAGCCGGTAGAGGAGGTTCTCTGCCACATAATCCGAGCAACAAGCAGCTACCGTTTGGAGGCGTCTGCGCGCGACACGCTGCTTGAGCTTCTCGCGTGGATAGTCCCAGAGGCGACGGGGATCGCCTGGTCAAGGCAGTTCGTCGCTGGGGAAGGTAAGCACGACGTTACTGTGGTAGTGTTTCCGCGCCTTCTACACACACCGCGAACTCTCCCTCACACTGTTTGCCTTGGCATCTCTTACCAGGCAACATCGAGCGCCTGCTTGAAGTGGCTGCGGCCGCGTCAGCAAGCATGATCACCCAGCGACCTGTTCGTGGTGGACGCACCGCGTCAGCCGAAGCTCCAGAGGCTCCAGGCCTTCCGGAGATCTCGCGTGGTGGCGTCCTGAAGACCTCGGCCAACACGCGCATGACCGTTGCCTGTCTTCTCTCTCGCATATTTGATGATCTGCATTCCGACAAGGACAGGCAAAAGTTTAGCCAGCAGTGCGCCGATTTTATTCTGTACGTGCTGAATTTGTGTGGATCTCCCCAAATAACTATTAATGAGAGACGGGGATAGTTTGGTAACAGCCAATGTGGGTGCTGTACTTGGTGTAGCTGCAAGTAAGCTAACGTCGTTTCTAATCCATCACACCGATGGTAATCGGATATTGGGAATGACTTGGCGTGGTTGCGTCTGTGGTTTGTCTGCAGTATCTAGCACCAAGAGTGGACGACTAGCAACGTTTTACAGCTGCACTGGACGAGTGAGAAGTATGCCTATCGTCTGTGCTGAGAAAGCGTTTGAATTCTGTGCGGAAGCAACAAATGTGGATCGGATGGTACTGCGCGTAAACGCCTTCTTATTGCTCTCAATGAGCCCCGCTTTGTAAGTCGAAGGGTCTATCTGGGGGGTATCTTTGTTCGCTTAGGAATCAGGTCCTGGGAAGGCTGATGTAGCCATAGTTGGTGCATGGCATTTGTTTCTCTTCAGGGATCTTTTGACGGATAAGTTCATTGAAAGCAAGGTGGAGGCTGCCGCAGTCATCGGGACCCTGTTCAGCGGGCCCTACGAGGTGGGGTCGCATGTGCTGTCTCGTGAGGGCATCCTCGAGGGTCTGCTTCTGCTCACACAGGCAGAAAACGTCGCCTACCAGACCGTCGCTCTGGACACCATCATTCTGGCCACCAACAAGAAGGACAAGTGCATGGCCATTATTGACCAGGCTGTGCCCATTCTGCGGTCGCTTTACAAATCCAGCGACGATGCTATTAAAGTCCGTGCACTAGTGGTAAGTCCAGGCGGTGGTCGCCTCACTTCTGTTTAGCCAATCCCAGTGGAGCAAGACGAAAGTAAATTCGATTGGTTCTTTGTCGGTGTCGGCTCAACATGAACCTCTTTTTTCGCCTGGAGGCAGCTACACACAGACTAATGCTTATGGTTATCGGAGTTTTGTGCGTTAAGTGACTGTTTCACGACCTTTAGGGCCTCTGCAAACTTGGCGTTTTGGGAGGAACCGACGCAAGCTCCCCGAGTATGGCCGAGGGGTCGACGGTTATTCTGACAAAGGCGTGTCGTCGACTGCTTCTGGGTCAGCAGTCGGGCGACAACAAGGCGGAGGCGGAGACGTCGGTCGACTTCGCACGCATCGGCCCCCTCAGCGCCGCCAACTCAACCCGCTGGGCCGTGGACGGCCTGGCCTTTTTGAGTCTGGCTGGCGAAGTCAAAGAGGCGATTGTCAAAGACCGCGACCTCCTCACAGCCATCTACAAGGTTGCTGAGGTAGATGTGTGTGTGTGTTTCGAAGTTAAAAGGAAATGTTGTTAACCACAAACACGCCTGTATCACCTCGTTGCACTTTACTTCACGCAGATGGGCTACTTTGACGCTGCCTTCCCATTGGCCAGCTTGCTTGCTAATCTGACCAATAGTTTTGAGGAGAAGGAGATCACCCCCGAAATGGTTGAACTTGCCAAATTCACCAAACAACACATACCGGAAAAACACGAGGCTGACGATCCAAAAGTCATCGCGCAACGACGACAGACTATGATCGATGCTGGACTCCCCTCCTGTTTATTTAATTTGACAACCAAACTCCTAACCAATACCGTAGCCTCCCAGCCTGGTATTCGGGAATTGGTCTCCAGGTGAGCTGTTGGCGAAAAAAGGCACTACTGGCCTCAATTTCAGTAGGTAATATTTACTGAATTTTTTGCCATTCCTAGGATCTACCTTTCGTGCGCCGAATGTGTGGATTGTCGAGGTGTTCTGGTTTCTGCGGGTGCTGGAAGGGTTCTCATTAACTTAGCATTAGAGAATAATACTGATGGAGGCAAACGTGCGGCTGCACAGGCGCTCGCCAAGCTAACAATTACGGCAGACCCTCGACTCACCTTTCCCGGCCAAAGAGTAAGTATGGCAACTTGCCATGGCTGTCAATTTGAAATACCTTGTAGTTCTCCCAAAATTTTTCATTGCTTTCCAAGTAAAGCTTGTAAGGGTTATGCAAATCTGCGGAGAAGGTCTTTTGAAATCAGCTTAATAGTACCCAGTTGTGGCTTCACCAAGTCTCTCGGCTACTACGGTCTGGAAAACTGTCCCAATGAAGGCCTTAATCCAAGCATTTAGAATTTTTCAATCTAATTTGGATGTAAACGATATTCAGCCAGTCGTACGCGATATCCTAAATGTTATAAACCTGTAAACGTTTATTGTCGGCTGTAATTTGCTCATGGCAACCTTTAAAACGAACACTAAATAATGCGTTTAGGTGATTTAAGGGTAAAACCATTAATTAGTAAGCATGACGTTAAGACTATCGTGTGGAGCCACGAAAAGCACTTCTGCAAAAGCAGTGTTACTGATGTTTATATCAGTAGAGTAAAATTGGTTCCTTTTGTGACCCATGACTTCCTGTTTGATTCCCCTGTCCGTGTCGAAATTATTTAGTAGAAAGGCGATTCTCGGCACCTGCAATTTCCAAGCAGTATAACAATCAGTCGCCCTTTTGCTGGTTGACGCACGTTATCTGCATACACAGCGTTGTGTCGTCAAATAAGCTTTAACGCAGCCACAATAAGCGTTGTTTCGTTGCGAATCACCAATGGCTGTCCTTTTGTGCATGTGTAGTCCTTGGAAGTAATCCGGCCGATCCTGCAGTTGCTGAACATCGACTGTCCCGCCTTGCAGAACTTCGAGGCACTCCTCGCCCTGACAAACCTCGCCTCGTTGGACGACAACCACCGGTACTCTTACCGTGCTATTTGCTTTGCTCACTAACTTCTGCACTCCCTGCAACACCTTCCACTCAGCTTACTCCTTGTTAAATAGAACACTTCAAGTATGTCATCGGTGGAATTCCAGTTGGTAGACGTGGACCTAGTATTTGGTGGTACTAGGTTCCACCGAAGTCATAGCAGATTGGCTAGGTTGACTCGAGTCGAGATACCACAAGCTGCCATGTTGCCATTTTGATGTTTGTTTCCACGACAGGAGTCGAATCATAGCCGAGGGGGGTCTTCCCTTGGTCGAGCACTACATGTTCGAGGAGCACAAGCAGCTGCGTCGAGCGGCCGTGGAGTGCTTCGCCAACTTGGCCCAGCACCACGCCACGGTGATCGCGTGCGGCGGGACCCTGCCCCTGGAGGAGCACGTCGAGGTGGGCAGGAAGCTGCCCTCCCTGGCCAGCGGCTCCGAGGTCGTCAAGCTCCTCATGCTCTACTGTCTGGAGGAGGCGGACGTGGCTCTGGTCAGGGCGGCGGCCGGCGCTCTTGCCACCATGTCCTACGACCCCGGCATCATCAAGAAGATCGTCGCGGTTAGTCGGGTTCCTTGTTACGAAAGCATGCCTGTTCTCTGCCATGTTTACGCACGAACTGAACTCATCCGTGGCGCATTTGTGCGCAGTCGGAATAAGGGGCCCTAAGAGTGCGCGCCAAATTTGCCAGCCGCCATGTGTCGTGAGCACAGGCCAACTTCCTTATTCAATCGATGTGGTTTCTTCCCCTTCACCGCCACCGCCCCCATTAAGCGAGTGAGGGATCTCCTGGGATTAACTGCGCCTGAGAGTTTGATCACCCGCCAACACAAAGTCTAAATTGGGTACTTTTTGCTGCCAAAACTTGTTTAAGTTAAATCTGGTCGTTTATGTTTCAGGGAAAGGGTTTTAGTTGAAAACTGATGTGTAGGCTAGCCGCTTCCTCCACTAGAGGTAAAACGGACAAAGGGTAATGTTTCACGAAATCTCAGTCGCGGATGCGAATTTACCAGCACCTCAGGTCGTGTGTGCACACACCCCCTCCGATCTCGGGTTAATCTTCTGTGAAGCTTGAGCCCAATTCCAGGTGTTCAAGGTCACAAGAAAAAAAAGAAAAGAGAGGAGCCACTTTTGAACGTGTTATCGATGTCTGTGACGCTGGTTGTGTGAGCATGCGTGCGGTTGTTTGCATCGTAGGTGAACAAGTGGTTCGACATCCTGCAGGCGGTCGCCGCGCACCCCTCCTCGGCCATCCAGCACCGCGCCGCCTTCCTGCTGCGCAACCTCGTCGTCGTGCCGGGCGAGCGCGGACTGGCCGAGTACCTGGCCCAGTCCAGCATGCTCGAGGTGCTGATGGCGCTGGCCCAGCAGCCCAGTCTCTCCGACACCGACCCCTTCCCCCCTGAGACCGTCGTGCTCTCCCAGGTGAGACCGCACACTCGTGCGCCTCGTCCTCGCTCGGGCACGTGCAGTCGTGGTTTGTGGTGCAAGCCAAATTCACTTCGCATAATTTTAGTCTACACGAAATTATTTCCCGAAACCAATTTGCAGGCCCTTTGAACCAGCCGTGTGGTCCCTTTTTAATGCCCACACGAGCCTCAGAGAGGGAGATAGAGGGAGAGATTACTCTAGATATAAGCCAGAGGGGATTAAGCGGTATTTGCCAACCGATAAGTGCGTCTTTTTTAGCCAAAGCAACGGCTCTAAACTGCGCCAACCACACGCCCAGCACAGAAGGTTTTTGACACATGACTTTGAACCGCAGCAAACAGGCGCGAATGTTTTCATCGGGCTGGAGACCACGTGGGCACATGTCACACTGCTTCGGGTGTCACGTATGGTACACTTCAGGTCATATCTTGGACACGCCACGTGACGAGGGCTCGCCGAACGTTTGCTTCGCCTTCTTAAGTGTTCGGGCGTTTTCCATTGGTTGGTATGGCTTCCAAGGCGTGCATTGCACCAGCATGGCCCTCTGGCGAAGTCAGCGTGTCTGGTCGGAAAGCGCAAAGGCAGACGGGGGCCAGTTATCGCAGCGCGCAGCCCTCGTCCTTAGCCGCTTACTAACTTTTCAAGAAAGTCCTCTTAATCTGGTTTTAATGAGGAGCAATCTCGATGTGTAATGTTACCCTGTTCTTTCCCACAGACACGTGTGGGCTGCGTTCTGGGGAATTTCGTGCTAGGTTTTTGCGTGTGTGGAGAGGAAATTCCAGCAGCTTGTTACTTGCATGCTGGAGTTGGAAGTCTTCAGTCTTTCGGAGAAGTGGGTTGAGCTAGCCACACGCACACACAGACCGGTGCCTACCTCGGCGAGAAAGGCCAATTGGCTTATTTGGCGTCAAGCCCGATAGAAGTGCTTAGCCCGCAGCGTGTGCACCACTCCATAACCTCGTTGTTCTCTTCGTGTACACGCCCAGTGGCCTAGCTTTTGTTCAGGCCACACGGTGCGTCTCTTAAAGCACACCACTCAATGCCGGTCGTTCGCACCAGCGTTCATCTCGTGATTGCCCAACAAGATCCCTCCGTTTTGCAGTCCTGTGGGCACCGTGACTGTTTTTATCAAACCGCCAACTCGAATTTCGTACTTGGCCCAGCCATGCGTGCGCATTTGGATTCGGAGTGATTCATTAATGTAGCCGTTTACAGCCAGCCCGACCAGAGTAAAGGCGAAACTATGGTGGCCTTTCAGAGTTCAGGCTTATCTGTGACCCCATTGGTTCTCACTCCACAGATGCACCTGCTGCCGCAGCACAAAGATATACCATGCTCAGCGGGTGGATAAACGGTTGTGCAGACGTAGTTACTTTGGCTACTCACTGCCGTCCCGGAGCGACAAATATTGGGGAAAAAGTGGATTGTGAGGCTTCAGCACAACTCCCCATGGCCCCAGGCTTTTGCCCGAAACTCTTGGACCAACCCACATTCACATTGCCCAACATCTAACTTTGTATTCTATTGGGTGGAGCGCGTGGCGATGCATAGGGGCTGGGTGATGGGCGGCTTATTGATCATTTGGGTGAATCGTGATGAAAATATCACGCTAGTGATCCTATAAATTTACTCGGTGCCTTCACAGGGTCGCCCAAAAGACGCCATTCGCCGGGAGGCCATCAAGGACCGGGAGAAGACCAAGGAGGCTGCGATGGACGCTCTCAAGAAACTTGCTGAGTACGGCTTGATAAAGGAGGCTGGAGCCAAGTAGTCGTGTCCACGTCACTGTCCCCTCCTCTACTGTGCCTTTCTTGTTTCTTTTTGTGATGCATATCTATTTTTTGCCTGCTCGCTGATGCCTTGCTTTATTTCTGTGGTGAATGTACATTAAGTATCCCTTTTTTTTCTATAGTTATTTGTCAAATTGCATGGTTGTTTTGTTTTAAGCATTATGCAAACAAAATCAGTCTACGTATTTTCGAAATTTCTACGCAGCAAGTTTGTTAATACATGCATTTTGCGCAATCGCGCCTTGTTTTTACACTTGTGCCCTCTTTACATGCGCAATGCACTGCACTAAGGGGGACTTAGGTCTTCGAAGGTGAGCTTAGACAAAGACAAATCCGTGTTCATTTTGGGATTTGCGAGGTTTTGTAACCATTCAGAAAGATAAACCTTTAAGTGCCGTCGCCGTGCACAACTAGACGCCAATAGATCCATCAACTCTGAGAAGTTAAGTCATTTTTGAAGGCTGACCGATGTTCAACAAGCTCCAGGCGCCGCGTTCGGCGTCAGGCAATATGGCAGTGACATCACCTTACTGTCAGGAGAAGTACACGTGACTTTTTCGTAGCCGTTTGCGTCATCTCCAACTAGACGGGAGTTGGGTTCTGTGTCTCCCTCGCGTCAATTCCACTCGCGTCGGAAGTTATCCTCTGTGGACGCTTGTTAGGAGGGCCTTGACAACGTTCTTAAGTCGGGCTTCTTAAATACAATGTCCTCAACATCGGATGAGAAACACCGAAGCTACTGCGTCAGTGTGGCTGCAGCAAACGATTCTAGATTTTGCTCTTGTTGTGGGCTCCAGCATGTGGTCTTGAACCACGCCGGGGCCACGAAATTAACCCTGGCCTGATTACCTTACCCTGATACCTCCGATGAAGTAAAAGATCGGAGAGGACGTGGACACGACCGTTTACTTCCGAGCTTAACCCCGTAGGTGTTGTGTCGTGTGTGGGGTTTGCGCGTGTGTATTTATACCTCGGATGTGTGAGTCATACATGCGCTAACATCGAGACCTAGGTGTGAGGATAATCCAGGATAGATATCCGTGTGAATGAGGTGGAGTTGAGGATCCGTGCGGCTGGTAACATGCTGCAAAAGGGGTACCCTGTGTCGGAGGTGAAGCGACCGGATTAAGGGGTGTGAATAACCACGATTCACAACGCTCTCAACACCACCAGTGTAAACGGTGAAAACGTGTCTGCGGACACTTCAAAATCTCTTCATGGCAAATGATTTTGTACCAAGGTCCTCCGTATACTTTACACTTTTAGCCCTTTGTAACGAAGACAACTTGTTGGCGGACATCGCAGGCAAATGTCAACCGTAATTTTTACGTAAAATCACCGTAACGCAAGAATCACAGTCAGAAGGGCCTTTATTCCGTTTGGTCCCCTAACTGAATGGCCACGCCGTGCCGAACCCGTGCCAGGCATTTCCAACAACTCCCACGTGCCCTTCTGTCTGCCTGCATGCAAATTGACACAACACGTTTGTTGGCACGTCTCTGCAACAAAACCGTGGATAAATCCAGATTAACACGGTTTAAGCTAGGCATGCGTTTTGAAAACAAGCATTTTTCGTGAATCTCTGAAGCCAACTGCAAATGCGATCAAGCTTAAAAAGCAGCAATGATTAGGATTTGTAAAACTGTTTATGAAACACAAAAATTGTACATAATCATGATATTCACTGTTCCATTGTGTTCAAGAGGGTGCTAAATAGTAACCACTGAATTATGTGTCTATGCGCACTCTCTTGCTGATTCAAGTAATGAGAGATCTTTATCTGATAGTACTTACCAGAGTAGTTAAAGCGCCCCTGGCACATTTTTGTGTAAATGCGGCATTAGTACTTGTTGGATGAAAATAACAATTCAGGTGTTACCAGTTGATAGCAATTGTAAAAATTGCACGCAAGTAGAACCTAGGGGATCGTCTGCCAGTGTAGAAGGTGGATGAAGTTGTTGGGGCCATAAACAACATGAAATGTTTTTCTGGTGGAATGGTTTATTCCCAGTCCGGAAGCCCAGACATCCTGTTCTTAGGCGAAATCTTTTTAAGACCACACTGCAAGCATTTCTGGGAGCGTTTCCTCACGAAAGCCAAATCCAGGGAATTTTGTGGAAGACGTGACATGACTCACTTATCGCTTCCCTTCGAATTACTAACACAGAATCCCACTAAAGTAAAGGGAATTTGGTGCACCTTAGATAAGGCTATTCCTTCCTACCAGTCTAACATGCAAAAAAGGCACTTGGCGGTAGTAGACAGCTGGACCATTCAGGATAAAATCCTCACAGAATCACAGGCTTCCCTACGTTTAACTATTTTAAGCCTAATTAACCACAAATCAAGTTAGCGTGGTGTTTAGGGACATAGGTAAGAATAAATTTCAACATTAACAAGCGTAACAATTGAATACCACAACCCAAAAAGGTGTTTTTTTGTTTATTTTTCCCTTTTCTGAATACGGGCTAAATCGAAGAAATGGGTGTTTTATAAACTAACAGCTAATCCAATGCCAGCATTACATGAGCAATCATAGAGCCAGATTAACAAGCCAACAATGATTCATAAAAGGACAAGTTATCACGTGTGGTATCAGACTGTGCATATTGAACAATCCCGATGAAAGACTTCGAAACGCGCTGTTTCCTCAAAATTGCACACTTTCTGCGGTCCCCACGGCACGAAAGACGAATGCGCTTCGTCTATCTTTTGATGTTTTATAATGCTACCACTTGAGCTGATAGACTGAGCCAGGGGAGGTCACTTTCAATCACTTTGTTGGAATGTGATCCTGGCGGTTGTCTCTCCCTACCAAAAACCCACTTTTTTGACAGCACACAAATTGAATTCATCTGCGAAGAAGGTATTTCTTAGACTAGCCATTGCCCAACCTAGGTAGGCAGTCGTTATCGGCGGACAATCTTCCTTATTTCAACTCCCATATATTCATTTTGAAAGTTAGTTTCAAAATTAGTTAAGTACGAAGTAGCATAGGATAATTAAATAATCGGAAAAAAATGTATAGTACGTCCTAATATAATATGAATACATAAGATATTTTATTAGTCAATGGGAGAAATTACACAGTGTGTTTGTGTTACTACAGACTGCATAAGTTACTCCACGTGATAATATTTGGTTCAAACTTTAACGTACCTCATTATTCTGTCGTGAATTCTCGATGTTGACTTCCGGTTGTGTCAAAGTAATTATTGCATCGGAACGTCATGAAATGTTGTATTTAGTCCTTTATGGTAGCAAACATCGTGATAGTTGCCCTTTACATAACCCATTTGACATTATCACTTGAAGTTTTCGGTACGTGTTTCGGATACCGACAAGTCAGCAGATGGTTTACGATGTTGTTTACAATCTTTCGGGCCGAGACCACAAAACCACAACAAAAAACTGTATATTTCAGGCAATGTTTACTTAGGTAATGTGCAATCCAAAATGTTGATGCTTTCTTGTGGTGGTATGCAATTTGAAGAAAGCGGATGTACATTTCACCTGAGAATGATAACAGAGATTATCCCCGTCGCTCAGAAGAGTCAGCTCAAGAATGAGAGTCCAAAAAGGTTTAATAACAGTGGTGTTTGTTTTCGAAGGACGCATGGTGATTTAGATAGCAACGTTAAACCACGACATTTAATGCAAACTGAACCTACGTCATAAATATGACTTTTGCGTCGAGATTTACTGCATTCTATTTATTATAAATGTTACTATTGGCATTACAAGGCAGTGTGCAATTTGAAGAAGGCACCTTAAGCATGGAGCAACCTGACAGCCATCAGGACGTCTACCTTTCCAAAGCGTGCTCTCGCATCATCTCAGCGTCCTTACCGGACCCATCCCCATTCCCTGACCTCATGCAACTCA